ATTTAATTTGGAGGATGTAGCTTGCGAAACTTAATTTAGAGTGCTGCCTCTCGTTTCGCTTTATGATCGCGGGCTCGTTCAACTACCCACTGCTGGAGCAGTTTGGTACCATTCACGCCCATCAACTCAAGGTCCCTTTCCTTCTTTACGTCGATCCTTTGACGGTTATTGCGAGGCCTCGCGTGACAGGCTTGAAGTATCACTTCGATCATATCTCTGCCGTGCTTAAATTTTTAAAGTCATTTTTTTTCATAGAGAAAACCCTTTTGTCTCTATTAGTATACAGTTTGGCGTTTTTACTCCGCGTCCTAAATCGGGAGGTGTCTTTGCAATGCTAGGCATTGGTTTTGCTAAGATCGACAATGTGGGCGTTCCAGTAAGGAGACGCTTACCTTGTTGATAGGGTAAATGCCAGTCGCGGGAAGTGTTTTCGCAGGTTACTCCGAGGCAAATTACCGATGGGGGCGTTATTCTAAGGATTTTTTTCCTGGTCGCAGGATGCAGATTTTCAGCGCAAGAGATTTTGCGTAAATGTTTTCGTAGAGGATTCACCTTTGAAGGTGCAGGTGGACTCTGCTCATCTGCTGACAGGCCACGTGTCCCTCTGGGGTTCATAACGGTCTATGTCATATAAATACCCACCCATATTCTCTTCCCGCACAACTCTAAATCATGAGGCTGGAAGCGCTGACTCTTGTTATTCTGTACTTTCTATGTAAGATTCCTTTTCTCACAACTCTACAATGCTGTTTGATTTAATTTAGACTTTACGAATCTTATAACGAAACCAGATAGAAGGAGACAAATACACTATCTTGTGTAGATTAAAAGAAATTTCTCTTTGTCACATTACTGTGCAATTATTTCGAGATTTCGAATTCGGCCTGCAGATTGTTTTCGCAATTCCGTTGAAAACTTTACGAATTTATCTGTTTTGGTTACCATTGTACATAAATAATGATTTTTTCAACCCTCTTACCGAAAACTTAGCAAAATGAAATATCTTAAAGGCATGCACCTAAATAAGGAGTTCTTAAAAAATTTAGCCTTATGAAGCTACCTGTGTGGGTTATAATTTCAGTATCACCCAGACACGTCAACTCGTTGCCGAAGAAAATGAACGGGCCGAACAAAAGCCGAAAATAAATACGTCTACGATTCATTAAAATACCGAGCAGTTACAAGTTACATCCTAAATTAGCGCTTATGTTAGATATTTCGAAGTCGAATGTCTGTGTACTGTACGTTTTTAAATATGAAGTCAAAATCAAAATAAGATACTTTGAACAATTTTTACTTCGCCAAAAAAAGACAAATGCTCTGCTGGAAATGAAAGAACTTACATATTTTTCTGTAAACCAGAATAGTTTTCAATACGTTCCTTCACATCAGCGCACCGTTATTTGACTTACAATGCCCAACAGAGTGACCACAAATATCCTTCTATGTTTTTTAACATGACTATCTTCTGTCTGTTCTGTTCCAAGTTTTTATTTTCGTTTATTTTCTTCCATTTATTCACAACTTAACAGACTTACTGAGAAAATTATTTCAGTTCCCTGTTGGGTCATGTAAAGTCAAATAGGGGTAGTAATTTCGCCGTACTAAAACAGAGGTTGGTGTCTTTTAAGTTTATTACTTATCTTCAGGGCAAAAAGCGTAACAGATTTGTAATGAAAACATTTGTTAACTAAGATCATTTTCCTTTTCCCGAAGATAACGCTTTATCTCATACGGACACTAGCCTCAATTTCATGTACGCCAAACAAATTTGCCGTTTTTTGAACAGATATAATTAAAACTTTCCTGCATTTCATTAATATTCTTTTATAGTGCAAAATGCACAAACAGGAATTTCTTTTTAGCAGCGCTTACTATCGTAGGAAATTCCTTGAATATCAGCGAGCGCCCATTTCGCCCTCAATTTTCTCCCACCATATGAAGATGAATGGAAGTAAATTCAAGTAAACAGTATTTTGCGCCTCAAATCAACCCAACAAACTAAATAAACAACCTCAAATGTGTGCTAAATTCTCCAATTCTCCAATTTTCATTAGATATATAACCTACTGTATATGTCAATTGACTGCAACTAATATAAAGGCAATGCTACAGTCTGTCCACAGCAGCCGGTGATTACTAACATACATGTGTTGATGAAATGTTTATTTATATAGGTACCAAGTGCGCGGAAATGGCAGCAGATAAGTATGTAATCGACAATTTTAACGATTCTGACGACTCCGACGGTTGCCCGTGGATCAAGCTTCATCTTCCAGAACGGTTTAAGGTCGGTTTGTGCACTTTTTAGACATACTGTATATGATAGCAGGAAGATTAATTTTATCATCGTAAACATCTACTGTCTTTTTAGTAAGTTACGCCGAAGCAAAGTCGACAATATATATCTTGGCATACATATCAAGTATCTAGATAAATTATTCATATAAACAATTGTCTTTAAAACTCCAAAAATATCCTAACTTTAGTGTTTTTTTTTAAATTTAGATGATCGTTCTAGATGAAAGAAATCTCTCCATTTCCGATGACTA